TATCTTGCAGTTACTTCTGTGCCACACAAGTTTGATAGGTGGTCTTTATTTCCAATCTCTGCCCAATGGAGGCGATCTTTGATAGTGTTGAATTCTTTTTTGTGGGCCGAGATTGGAAAGGAAGACCACTTGTCAGACCTCTGTGACACAGAAGTAATTTCAAGATGACAACATGCCCACGCTTTATGGAAACGGGACTTGGGAGTCGGTGTTGTTAGGTTTGTAGAAAGATGCAGGGCTAAAAAAGGACTGACTGTATCAATTTCTGCATAGCCGGATTGCTCAAGATCACCCCAGCTTCAAGCGAGCACCGACCGCTTCCATCTTCGGCTGGTTGACCAACCAGAACAGGTTGGTTCCAATTTACCTGAAAGGTGACACAGATATAACAAACATTTCGTACTCCGAGTTTAACCTACGCTATTTATGAAGCGATTCAACTCAAACGGATTGATATAGGTCGAATCGCGCACAAGTAGGAACCAATCGAAGTTTTCGTGAAATGTCTAAATATGGCTTGAAATACAAAAGAAGACAACGATTCAAACTAAAAGCAAAAAAGAGTTTTGACCAAACACATCACATCCTACGCCACCATACAAACTCACCGCTGTAGATTTACTTTCGAAACTGAATGATAAACTGATAAGGCTAAAAACAAAATTAGAATATAGAAGTTGAAGTAACTTACCAAGTTGAAGATGAGTCCTAGCACGAACACGTGAGATTTCTGTCCATTTGGCCTGAACGAACATGATTAGCAGTAGTTAACAAGAACACGGGGATTATCAACAACTGCTGTAGGAATTTGCTGCCTATGCTCAGCTTTTTGGAAAATTCGTGCATGGACGTTGAGAGAAAATTAATCAAACGGAGTCATGAGTATGACCACACTGTACAGTCAGCTTCGCTGATTCATGAATGATTCATAATGACTATAGAAAAGCTAATAAATATCTAATTGAAAGTCCGATCTTCAACATTTATGATTCGAAAACAAACCATTCAAAAACAAAAAATTCTCTTTCAAAACCCACTTGTATGGACTCAAGTTCGTCAGCTGAGCTAGATCAGTGTCAATTCGACTAGCATCAGCAAAAACGTGAATCCTTGGCACATGTTTCCCTAACGATGCATTCATTGCTACTGCCAGTGACGACTCAGCCAGAACTCCAACCATCAGTCGCTCACGTATGCCTAACTCGGTGGCTGCGAACCTAGCTCTGACAACCTAAAAAGCACTCT